GCGCCAGGTTATGAATCCTGAAGGCCCAAGTCTATAGCTCGTGGTGTGAAGGCATAGAGATTCTTTTTCGGCGTTGATAGCAAGATTTTGGGTTCTTGCAATATCGGGAGATTTCTTGTGACAATTACAGCGAGCACGCCTTCTCCATCTCCATTCAATGCCACACGATGATCTTCTTGGCCGATAAGCTACATGTTCGCTAGATTCTTAGATCGACGTCGTGCAAGAGTGGCTGTTTGATGCTGGAAGTTTGATTGCGTTTTGTACTTGCCAGTGTTCAATTTTCTTCTTAGATCAAGTTTAACCCCTGCAAAATCGTGGGTATCCCTCTCTTGGTTCTTCCAGTGCAATCTTAAGGAGAAGAGTCCTCAGGTCACAAATTCACAGGTTCTTAGTTACAAAATTTTAGCTCTCTTTTTTATTCCTCATTCTTTCTCCCCTTCAATCTCGAATCTCCAATGTTGTCTGAAAAGGTGGTGATCAACGTGAATCACCCCTTATATCTTCATCCTTCAGACACTCAAGCAACAACCTTGTCTCTCAAATTCTAACCGACTCCAATAATTACGTTGTATGGAGCCGAGCTATGCGTTTAGCCCACAAAGGGAAGAATAAAAGGGGTTTATTGATGGAAGTTACGGGTGATAAAAATCTTGAATTGACTGATCAATGGGACCGATGTGATGCAGTAGTGTTATCTTGGATAATTAATTCGGTCGACAAAGAGATAGCTACCAGGATTGTGTTTGCTGATACAACGCATTTAGTTTGGAAAGATTTGGAGGAGCGTTTTCAAAAAATGGATGGGACAAAGATATACACTCTACACAGAAGCATATCTACAATTCAACAGGGCATGTCACTTTGCTGCCTACTTTACAAAGCTTAAGGAATTATGGGATAATATTCCCTTATTGTCCCATTGCCGTCTTGCAAGTGTGAAACAGCCCAGGCATACGTCAAGATTAGTCAACAACAGAGGTTATTCCAATTCCTTATGGGATTGAATGAGTCTTATCAGCAAGTTCATTCCCAAATCCTTCTTATGTCACCTTTGCCCATTGTTAACCAAGCCTACTCTATGATTACACAAGATGAGGATCACTGTATGATTTCCTCTCAAATCCCCAACCATCTATTAGAAGGGGCAACTATGGCATTTAGAGGAGGACGACAAACTCGAGGGAGAGGTAGAGGGCATTCTCAAGGTGAAGAATGTACTTACTGTCATAAAAGAGGGCATAAACGGGACAATTGCTACCAACTTATTGGGTATCCTCCCAATTTCAAGGGCAAGAAAGAGTCAGAGTCTCAAATTAATCAAGTTACTGGAGATCAGCCTTCAGCAACCTCTCAACCAGTAATCACTCAACAACAATACAATCGAATCCTACAGCCTCTCCAAAAGGATTCAAAGGAGGTGGCAGTTGGTATAGCAGCACCCATTGAGGAACATATCTCAGGTTTGATCAATGCCCTTCCAGTCTCCTTAAGTAGAACTCATTGGCTACTAGACTTCGATGCCTCTTGTCATGTTGTTTCTAGTTTAACTATGCTTGACAGTGTTAGTGTTTATATTGGACTGTTAGGAAGATAAAAATTCCTAATGGAGACAAAATCACTATCACACATACAGGCACTGTCAAACTGTTTGATAACATAGTTTTAACTGATGTGTACTATGCCCCGGAATGCTGTTATAATGTGATCTCAATTTCTAGATTAACTAGAGCAGTAAATTGCATCATAGGTTTAAAATTAAAGACTTGGGTGAGTTGAAATATTTCCTAGGACTAGAACTAGCTAGGTCTAAGAAAGGAATTGTCCTTAATCAAAGAAAGTACACTTTAGACCTTATTTCTGATATGGGGTTGACTGGTTCAAAACCATTAATGGTTCCTATGGAAAGAAATGTTCGGCTAAGTTTTGCAGGAACTGGTAATGCTAAGAAAGGAAAGACAAAGAAGCACAAGCACAGGAAGAAATTTTCCCAGTAAGATCCTCTTTTGCAAGAGCCAGCTACATATCGACGACTTGTAGGTAGGTTATGTTATCTCACTACTACAAGACCTGATATCAGTTTGTTGTGCAAGTTTTGTGTCAGTTTATGAGTGCACCCAAAAATCTCACATGGCCGTAGCAGTAAGAGTTGTAAGGTATCTTAAAGGGAATCCAGGTTTAGGCATTCTCTTGGCTGCTTCAAAGACGAGTAAGCTGAAGTGTTATGTGGATTCTGACTGGGCTGCTTGCCAAGATACAAGGCGCTCAGTGACAGGCTATGCAATTAGATATGGAGGATCATTGGTTTGCTGGAAGTCAAAGAAGCAACAGACAATCTCTAAGTCTTCAACTGAGGCAGAGTATAGAGCACTAAGTGTTGCAACCTCAGAGCTCGTTTGGTTGACCAGAATGCTCAAGGACCTAAACATGGGAGATCCAGGACCTGTCAAAGTTTTTTGTGATAGCAAGGCTGCTATACATATTGCAAGTAATCCGGTGTTTCATGAGAGAACGAAACACATAGAGATAGATTGTCATTTTGTTAGGGAAATGTTGCAGCGAGGGATTATTGATTTGTATCATGTTTCTTCTAAAGAACAATTAGTTGATGTATTTACAAAACCACTTAGTAGAGAGGACCATGAGCGATTGTTGTGCAAGTTGGGTACCATAAATTTGTTTGGCTCCCAACTTGAAGGGGGGTGTTAGAATGTATATGGGCCTAGTCATGATTGGGCCACCGTCTGGTCCACTTCTTGTATGTACTTGGACAACTATATATATATATGTGGGCTTGCTAGTCAATATCTCTTTGACTGGGTTATCATATTTTCAGGTAGTTAATTTCTGGTTTTCACTAAACATCAGTAATTAACTACTATTTTTATTTTCCAGTACAAGAAGAAATGAAAAGAGCATACAAATCGGTACAGCGATTATTTTGGTGAACGGTTGGGCCATTGTATATGAGTAATTAATATTATTTCGGACGGTATTAATTAAGAGGTTGGAAACTTGCAGAAGTGCGGTATACTAAGCTAGATCAAGTGCATTAAACAAATGTTGCACCAGCCATGCCACGACAATGACACTAACAAGCACGAATCCACACATGGTTAAGAATCCAGCAGTGACGACGAAGAGAGCTGTGCTAGCTGGGACCCAAACGGGGCTTAGTATGACGATCAACGGCAACGAAATGATCAGACCCAGCACGGTCCCGGCGACGGCCAACCCGACGAGGAGGAGAAAGGCGGCTCCGATGATCAGAAAGTGATGAGGCGAAAATGATAAAGGTAGTACCATTAAGAGCTCAAGTAGCTTCTGTGCTGTATCTATTAGAACTTTCGACAGTATTGATGTGAGAGGATTGTTGTTAGCCGATGAAAATAATGTGGAGAGAATCTTGGTAGGACCCCTGAGAAGATTAGTCGGAGAGAGTATGTTGGAAGCCTTAGAGGAAAGGCTCGAGGGGAGAATCTTCTTAGGGTTTGGAAGAACTTCGAGGGGTGAAAAGATCGCCTTGGTTGTGTCTGAGAGGATCTTGGAAGGTTCAGTGATAATTTTGGTTGTGTTTGAGATGATCTTGGCTGGTTCTGTAACAAGTTTGGTTGAGTTTGAAAGGATCTCAGAAGGATTAGGAATGAGCTGGGCTGAGTCTGGGATGATCTTGGCAGGTTCAGTAACAAGTCTGGTTGTGTCTGAAAGAACTTCAGAAGGATTAGGAATGAGCTTGGTTGAGTCTGAGATGATCTTAGAAGGGTGAGGGAGGAGAGAAGATTGATGATCATTGTGGAAGAAAATATGTGTACGAGGAATAAATGATGTCTCTGACATGGCTACAACCTTAAACTAAAGGATAATTAAGCAAGGAGATAATGACGGGGAACAGAAATATTCAGTTGTTCTGAGCTTTTCCGAAGAGAACTCAAGTTAATCGCTCCGATGATCAATTGATGAAGAAAAAAACAACATTTATAAGGAAAGGAACAAGAGAGTTATTTGAATTTATTTTCAATTGGATTTGGAACGGCAAGATCTTTTATTTAATTAATTAATTAATTAATTAATGGCTTCATTTTACACGTGATGATCTAAGAGTAAATAAACTTTTGCATACCGCCACCTGTATCTTAATTTGTCTTGTTATATAATTATGAGGATTTATAAATTTCAAGTTTGAAATGTCGGGGGAAAAAAAAATTGCCTAGGGACTCCATGTCTCATGATAACATTAAACAAAATTAATTTAATTTAGAGCCACTTGTTATTGACGTGGCATTGGAAGATGATTGGAGCATTCCACGCGAATCACGATCCACACTTCTTTTGTATTTGAGAGAATTAGAAATTTGAATGTACTTTTCCTTATCCCTGTAATCTAACCACGTTAGTGAAGGTAATAAGAAGGGTTGGTTAAGTTACTGATTTTATCTGAAAATAAAATAAATTTATAATTTTATCCATACTTAAATAGAAATTTTTTGCATTTGTATTGCATGTACTCTATAGTTAATGATTTTAAGTATGAGTGATATTGAAAAAACTTAATACCCACATCAAGTGACTTTTTACTATTTTATCTATAATTTAATATATATTTTAAAAGTTGGGAAAAAATATATATTTTAAAACTAGAAGACATCATCATGCATGATTGGGAAAATTGATGTAATGAATATAAAAAACTTAATGCAAGCATTATTCGCAATAAAAACCTAAGCAAATACACACCCGGAGCTAGGATGGATTTTGGGCCAACAACACTCCAGCTATCAATGGACAACCATGAGCCTAATACAAGAATTTCCAACCACTCGTATGTGCAGGTTTTGTGATGTCAATTTCCTGGTTGAATTTCTCTAGAGGGAGATTTTGGGCATAGAAATCAGAATGCTTTGTGGGATTTTAATTACCGACTCGACAATTTCAACTGTGTTAATGCAACAACATCATTACAGCGTTTTGACCAATGACCTTTTGTACTGAACAATTGTCCAAGAGTTTTCAATGAGTTTTTCACAATGGAATCAGGTTTCTGTGCATATATACACTCACAACAATAAATACTGCTGAAGGAGAAATCCCTTAAAATAGGCCTCTAGTTAGTTGAAGATAAGGTTTTTCTTCTCTTTAACCATGTCCTTCTACCACTTCTCTGGACAAACTCTCTCTCCCCTTCTTCAAGTGACATCACTCTCAATCTCTCTTGTTCTTCAGGGGATGAAATGATTAACTTAGGGCTAGCTTTTGCGTCTGATGCACTTATATACCTTCTCCTGACAGACTCTTCATCACTTGATGTGTCATCCTCCATAGATGTCTGTCCATTTGCCCTATCAGATAAGTCCATGCCTTCAAGCATGTTGGCATCTTCCTCAGTGCTACTTTCTCCAGAAGTTGTACCACTGAGTGTATGGAATCCACCCTGAAATGAAGAGACTTTAGCTTTTTCCTTATACAAAGGAAGAAGAGATTTTGATTGTGAGTCAGTCATGTCTCTTCCCAAACTATAGGTGGTTGAGAGTTTCCTTTCAATGCACTCCCTTTCTCGTACCATATCATCCATCTTTTCATGAACTTCATCGCCTGTTTCTTCCTTTAAGGCTTTTTCTTCTAGTTCAGTAATCTTCCTGTCAAATGCTTTCTTCTGGAGTTGAAGAGATCGCTGAAATGAGCCCAGTTTTGCAGATGTTGATTTAAGAAACAAGCTTAATAGAGAAAGAAGTAATGGTTTTAAAGAAAAGGAGAATGAGAAGGATGTTGAGATCTTACTCGCTTTTCTAGAAAGCTACCAAGGCCTTGATTTTTAATTTTCTTTTTTGCCCAGAATGTACAGCAGAATCTCAAAACTCCAGCCAATGCTGCCAAAAGAGCTGACTCGAAGAAAAGAAACAAGATTATTGCCCTTTCATTGCCTGCAGAAAAAAGAATCATTCAAATGTTTAACAAGTATACTTTTATCTCGTTGCTCTGCATAATTTAACTTAAACCTGTATAGATATTCACAAGCTCGGTCCTTGCTTGAGAGCAGCTAGAAGTAAGCTTCTGATCTATAAAGGGATGACAATATTTGAAAATCAAGCCATGCCATCCAGATGAAATTATATAAGCATATGCTAGAGGAAATTGGCATAAAAACTCAATGGTATTAAATAAACCGATGTAAAAATTATAACAGCAGGAATAAATTTGAAGACATGATAGATATATCATGAAGATTATTCCCAATATGCCTTAGGTTGGTCAGCCAAAAGAAAAGAAAAAAAAAATTCTGCCTTAGGTTGCGTCAAATTCCGCAGGAATGAATTTGAAGACATGCCGGATGCAAATCAGCTTGTTTAATGAGTTTTAGCCAAATCCAACTTAAAGAAAATTTGGCTTTCTTAGGCTATCATCTAATTTTCAATGAGCAAAATGCCTTACATGTGTATTTTAGTGTATGTTTTATTTGAAGAACCTGGCATGTAACTAAATCATGATAAAAGCAGCATACATGCTAAGAGAAATTCTCAGATGTAACTTAGCTGGCATTTAGAGATCAAAGACGAGTCATATGATGCAACCGCAACATCTATAATTCAGTTTAACTTAATAGCAGCCAAAATGGTTACCTATTGTACGGCATTGCAGTGGGTTGCCTGTATCTGCATTAAGTATCATAATTAAGACATTAGTGCGTTCAAGCAAATTACTAATCTGCATGATTACTATGTTTTAGTGAACACTACATTGAAAGTATAAACAGCTATCAAGTGATTCTCATAGTGTCCTTTATCTCAAAAGCTGTCATGATATTTAAAGGAATAGGCTCTTACTTGAGGCGGCAAAAAAGGCAAGAAGAATCTCCTCATCGATTATAAATTGACTTAGATCACTCTCTTGCAATAAAGATGAAAACTGGCCTGGTTCAGTCAGCATTGAGGAATTGTGATAGGGTCCAATCTATAGAAACTTTTTGTTACGAAAAAAAGATTATGATAAACAGACAAGGAAAGATATTATGCATACATGGAGAGCTTTCGGACCAATAAATAGAGCCGGTGGCAGGAACCAGTAAAGTGAATAGTGCAGCTTTAGGTTGACCAGCTGAAACATGGGTGGATTCATCAATACCGTAGCTGATTTTTCCTTCCATTTGTGTCTGGGATACATAGACTGCATAACCAGAGCAATCAAGCATAGGACCAACTTGAATGACAACATTCTCTGCATTTATTCTTGAGAATTTTTGAAGAGAACCAGTTGGTGAAAATGAGTATAAGAATCCATCCAATGAACCAATAGATACCCATCCTATGTCAGAAAATAAAATCATTAGCTCCGGAGAAACATCAGACGACTGCAAAAGTTTTAAATTAACGCATGAACTTGAAAAATGGGGTAAACGGGAAAGGGGGACAAGTATCCAACGGTCGAGAGTAAACATCTGAGTGTCCGAGGTTGGAGTGCCATAGAATATCAGTAAAATTATTAGCCAAAGGAATATGCATGTAAAGTGTTAAGTATGGTCAGATCATGCCCTACAGATCCACATGATGAGTTGCAAAAGGGAATCATGGAAAGAAAGTTTCACTTAAAAAAAATAGGGGTGATGGCCTCATGTGCCCATAAAAATTCAACAATGGAAATTTAAAATAAGAAATTTCTCTACAAATTCTCTGGATATGTTTGTTAAGACTTAAACCAGGTCTTTACTAATTGACAATTCATGTAGGAGAAAACAATTTACTACAAAATGATGATTTCAAATGCACACGCTATATATGATCTCAAAAAACACTGTTATTTCTCATCAAAATACTATACAAAACTTGTTATTGTTGGTTTTGGTCTCGCTTAAAGTAGCTATTGAGTCATATTATTGACATTACAAGTCACTTTTCAGTGTACATCGACAGCAACAGATAATCCTCACTGATACTGTTCAGGTTCTTAAATTGGGGGAAAGCAAAAGGTTTGCGCTTACCATTAGAATCAACTACAGGTGCACTGTCTGCTTTGCTCAATGGTCCGATGTTCTTCTGCCACAAGATATTACCTGAATAGACATCAAGGGCCAACAGAAGAGCCTTCACTGGAACAGTTACATAAAGATGACCATTGTTTCCTGGGGTGATTGTGAAAATTTTATCTAACGAACTAAAATCCTGTATCCATTTAAATTGACGGCTGCGAACTGACAAACAATAGAGTTCTCCTTCTGTGTTTGAGATCTGAAATGCGAAAGCATAGCGGTAAAGGAAGAAGGGAAAAAAAACCATCACACATTGAGTTAGTCATTATAATGCCGCACAGAAACAAGAAATATCGCTTGCAACCTTTTAAGAACGCATTTAGCAGTGTCAAGTAGGAGAAATTCATATATCTGCTTTACATGATTAATAGAGATATGTGTTTGGTAGAGTTGGTATGGTAGACGTGCAGCCGAAAATTTTTACTTACAGTTCATCTAATCGTAATAGGGCTGGTTTTTCAAATTTTATTCACGCTAATCTACCTAAAAATATAGCTGCAGTAAAATTTGAGTAACCCTGAATGACGTTGCAATTAACATAGCTTTCCCTTGTAGGCTTCTGGCTGTTCAGCCCACTAAGATATATTATGCACAAAAATATTTTTAATGACGGGTCATCCACTAGTCTGACTTCTTTCCAAGTTAAAATGACTCTAGAATGAGAATAAGAGTGTACACGAGACTGATTTTTTCCTTTTCGTTTTATTCTTCTTTCTTATCTATCTCTCAATTATTTCACTTATTCTACAAGTGCTTATCATGCTTGCAAATGACCCAAATCCTCCATTCAATACATATGTTGCTGTTCCAACAGCCGCGGGTTAGAAAGATAAAATCCAGTGAACTAGGGATGGAAAAAACCTTACATATATACTAGCCTCACATTGATCAAGCACTGGGACTGACGTGAAAAAACAATTTGTCAGATCTTTGCGGCATCCTTGGCGGTAGCCAGATTGGTTAAGCACAGGTCCAACACTCCAACGTAAGCGTCCATAGGACTGGTATGCGAAGAGTCCACGACCCCTGAGATTGATGAATACTGTGGAACTTAAAGTGTTCACTGAGAGTCCAATAATTTCAACGGCGTCCTGTTGATTTGTCTCTGGCCCAAAGAAAACTTGTGCCTCAGGCTCATAAGTTCCACGGTTTCCAAATTTAATCTCCAGCACTCTGTTCTCAGCAACCAAATATATCTGGAAGTGCTTTACAGGAGTTAAAAACCTTTGGAAATTTCAATTGCTTCTCATAATTTTGTAATATACAATTTTCATTTTTCTTAAATATCTGCATAAAATGCTCGTGTTTATCACGTCACCACCATACAAAGGGGGGAAAAATCCAAATCGCAAAAGACATGGATAAGGTAGGCAGAGAAGTGTGCATAAAACCATAAGAGAATCGGAATACATGACGATGTATATACGAAAGAAAGATAAAGACAAGGGCGACGAAGGTGAAGGAAAGTAATGTTAAAAAGACAAACATATCCTCGAGCAGGTTTCAAACATTATACTAAGGTGTCCACAACAAAACTTGTCCTTGTCCATCAAACCAGGATTTTGTTATGAGGCTTACAAATTGAAGACTTACCTTGCCTGGACCTCCACGAAGAGGAGCCATAGAGACATTACATTTGAATTCTAGATGAACAGACCAAGCGATAGTACCATTACTTTCGAAGGCGAAGAAATAATTCTCAGAACAAGCATAAACCCTTCCATCATTTCCAATCAGAGGCTTCGAAAGCCGAAGAGAAGGACCTGGAAAACACAACATGCTCGAGTAAAGAAGTTCAAAGTTTGGGAAATACAGTTATTATGGCGCAATGCAGGGAGTTAGAGAGACACAGACCTCTAGATGAGTAATGATAAGCAGATATAGAAGAAGCCAAATCGCAGAGCCACAGGGAAACCACGAGGAACAGAGAGATCGCCATGGAAGAGTGTGAACTGTTGGATTTGAAGAAATGATCGCGAACTGTAAATATCGTGCCAACAACTCGACGTGGACGATAGTACAGTGTAACCGTTGTCATTACCTCACACCGTGATATGCAAACATGCTTTAATTAATGGATACGTAAAGTTTGAAAATAAACTATATTTTTAAAGATAAAAATAATTTTGCTGATCACATATGCTTGGGCTTAAAAATTACTGCAAGTGCATTTATTTTCAATTTAAGAAATATTTTATACTGGCCAAAAAGTAGATGCTATAGAAGTTAAATATTTTTTCATCAAAAGCTGAATTTTTTTTAATGCCTTTCCTTCTTAATTTTCCAATTTTTTCGAAAAATAATTGTTAATTTATTAATGGTTAATTGTATGATAAATAAAATAAATATAAATCAGGAAAAAATTACTCTTCAAACCCTAAGTATAAAATCAATTTTCCTGTATAAAATGCCCTACAAAATGAGCTTTACATTTATAAGCAAGAGAGTAATTTTTTGATGCAAAAATAAATATAAATTGTTTATCAAAAGATGCAAACCATCTTGAGGCTGATCTGCCTTTTTGGGTATAAAGTATTTTTTTTAATGTACATTTAATACTTTAACATATTAAATAGTATATCTAGCATCCTAAAATAGTTTTTTTCTAATATGTCCAGCATTCTAAAATATTTTTAATACAATTTTACATGTATCAGTTAGAATATTAGATGCATCAAAAAAAAAATTCGAGAGATCAGATGCATATGAAAAAATATTTTAGAGTATTGAATGTATCAAAATATAATTTAAGTGAAAAATATTTTAGGTTGCTAAAAAAAATTAATTTAGGTTGCTGCACCAAAGAAAATCCGAGAAGTCATCTTAACATTTTTTTGGGGGGGGGGGGGGGCCTTAAACGATCCGATTCTTTGAGGATTGCGTAGTGAGCAAAACTCCTATATTTATCATCATATTCGTCGATAGCTCATCACATTGGCGAATAACGCTTCGCCCTCTCATTCGTTCTGTTGTTCTATCTTTGTCAACGCTGCCAGTGGTCCAAGAAGAAAGAGAAAATCTTTATCGGCCCTATAATAATTCATAATCATTGTTCTCCTGAACTCGCACGTTTCATAATAGTCCCAGACGCATGCAAATTGCGGCTATTCTTTTCACTCCATCCATTGATTAGTCTGCAAGGAATCTTATAGGCCACTCACATCATTTGCATTGGCCCTCTCTCCTCCTCCATCGCTCCCTCTTTCTTCTTTCTTCTGATTTTTTTTATTTTTTGCTTGAATCTAGGATTCCGCATTTCTCTCTTCCTCTCTGGATTTTTGGTATTTCTATAATACAGACCAAAGTATCTCGGACATTGTCTCCCTGCTTTCCTTTCAAGGGAGATTTTGATTCTTTACGATTCGTAGAACTGGTTCCTGTATAACCTTAAATTTGGATGCATATCTTGTATACTCAATCTTGATTCTCGTCTTGGTTAGTCGTTGCGATTAAATTTGGGTCACTTCGAATTGTTTTGTTCAAGAAATTAACCTGTGAACGATCGTCGGATTATCAGGTTTGGCTGACTGAATTGCGTTCTTCTACTTCCTAAGAACAGCTTGTGTTTTTCATGACACCTAAAATTTGCCTATGTTTTCTTGTACAATGTTACCCAGCAGAAGTTGATATCTTGATTGGAGAATTAATTGATGTCCGACAATGACGACTGGAAATCTTAAACCCAGGACAGATAAGAAACATTCACGAAAGGGCAAAGCAGATGTTAATGAAAACGAACCCCTGTTACCTAAAACTCAGGAGGTTGATGTTGGATTTGACGATTTTAATGGAGCTTCATTTTCTGGGGCCGTCTTTAACTTGTCCACCACAATTATTGGTGCTGGGATCATGGCTTTGCCTGCTACCTTGAAAGAGTTGGGAATGGTTCCTGGGATTCTTGCTATCATCTTCATGGCTTTCTTGACAGAGAAGTCTATTGAGTTCTTGGTCAGGTTTACCCGGGCAGGAAACTCTGTTTCTTATGGAGGTCTAATGGGGGATTCCTTCGGGAATTGTGGAAAAGTTCTCGCTCAAATATGTGTTATAGTTAACAACCTAGGTGTGCTCATTGTTTACATGATTATAATAGGTAAGATCATCTTTGAATCTTCGACTTAAATATATTTGGTTGAATATCTGCTCATGTGTATATGTTTAGATATTACTTCGCTCTCAGCTGGAACTACTGCTTTGCTTATAATTGAAGTTATTGATTATTGATTGATTTATTTATTTTTAATAATAAAGGTGACGTGCTTTCTGGAACATCATCGAGCGGTGATCACCATCAGGGAATCTTTGAAGGATGGTTTGGTGTCCATTGGTGGACCGGGCGTACATTTGTTGTTCTCTTTACAACTCTGGTTATATTTGCCCCTCTAGCTAGCTTCAAGCGAATTGGTGAGTGAGTTCTTTTCCTTAGACCAAAGTTTAGTTCTCATTTACTATTATTACATGGCAGTGAAACTCTTTTTGCATGAACAACATCTAAGAAAAATAACCGGCCAAATGGGAGCATGAGATCTGACCAACTCCATCTCACAAGTGCTAACAAGAAGGATTAGTCTGTGTCGGAAGTGTTGAGTTTTGACTGCAGCTTAGCATTTAGGCATGAGATGGGTTGAGTACTTCCAGCAGATGATTTCAGTCATATTCTGAGAAGGGTGGAAAATGGACATTAACGTTGCTACAGAAAAAATGTAAAAGGAAAATTTGGAACTTGTTCTGTTGTATATTTTGAATCACGTCACAAGATTTGGTAGATATGTATTTTGGTTTTAGGAGCATTCTATTGCTTTGAACCTCTCCATACTGATTCATGCATTTCACTTGCCGCATATTAAAGCTTTTTATTATCTGCATGTTGTGTGATGAAAAGAGATCTTATTCTAATATATTTGCCTCATATTTGATTACGAAATCACTGAGTGTTGCTCTAATGGTTGCAGATTCATTAAGATTCACATCTGCACTATCAGTTGCGCTGGCAGTTGTTTTTCTTGTCATTGCTGTGGGAATTTCAATGATCAAGATTCTAAGTGGAGGAGTAGGGATGCCTAGACTTTTTCCTGTCGTTACTGATTTCATGTCATTTTTCAAACTGTTCACCGTGGCTCCTGTGCTTGTGACTGCCTATATCTGCCATTACAATGGTATGCAAGTTTTTCATGCCTCACTGCAGGTTCTGATAGTTATAATATGGGCAACTAATTTATGTAGATATAGGTTGATTATTAGCTTGTATGAAAAATCCAGAGGAGTCAATCTAAAAATTTGTCCCTTGACCTTGGACCCTGATCCTGTCCGTGGAGATAATAAAGTAATCATGTAAAGTATGTTAGAACTGATCATAAATTTCAAATCTTGGCAGCATGAGCTAGTGTTTCAGATTATTAATTTGACTCACATTCCTCCTATTAACCTTAAGTCAAATAAAACAGTTAATATTTGTCACTCAAATTGTCATGTTTTATTCTGTTAGTAACATGATTAATGCAAGTATTGCCCTTTCATCTTATTCTTGGTTACTTGAAGTGGGCCTGGCGGTTCCAGACCCGTGCCACAAGTATCACTAAAAAATGGTTACTATTGCCTAAACTGTTTATTACTGAGCATGACATTGTTAGTCAGCTTTCAGGGTTTACCCGTCTGCACTATCCATTTGCAGACCAATATCTGAGTTTTATCAACTTGACAATAATTGATCCCTTTGAATGCTTTATTTGCAGTTCACAGCATAGATAATGAACTTGAAGACTCCAGTCAGATGCAAGGGGTTGTACGTTCTTCCCTTCTCTTATGCTCTTCAGTGTACTTAATGACAAGCTTCTTTGGGTTCCTCCTTTTTGGTGAAGGAACTCTTGATGATGTGCTTGCCAACTTTGATACTGATCTTGGAATACCTTTTGGTCCTTTGCTTAATGATGCTGTACGTTTTAGCTATGCAGCACACCTCATGCTTGTATTTCCAGTTGTCTTTTTTCCACTACGGATCAATGTGGATGGTCTTCTCTTTCCTTCATCCAGGCCATTGGTTTTGGATAACTTCAGATTTGCATCAATGACCACCGGCCTCATCGCTCTTATCTTCCTCGGAGCAAATTTCATACCCAGTATTTGGGATGCATTCCAGTTCACTGGAGCAACAGCTTCAGTCTGTGTAGGATTTATATTTCCAGCTGCCATTACTCTCAGGTCAGTTTTGACTTTGGTCAATGGGTCCTGGCAATTCTATGATGAAGATGGTTCATGAATGTAGTTCTTGATTTTTTTTTTTTTTTGGTGTGTGGCTAGAATGTATTTTTTGAATTTGGATCTTCTAGAAGTTTGGAAAGAAATTCTCTTTGCCAAGTTATAAATAGAGAGAGATATAGAGAGGGAGAAACGTCCACTGCAGTGGATCCCATTTGGATTACACTCGATTTTTACACGTAAATACCTCCATTTTTCTTTATCTGTCTCTGTATCTCTAGTTAGTCCTATGTGAAACCCAGAGAGAGAATATAATGAGCCAGGAAAGATAAAGATTAGTCTTCATTTTGTGCCATGCTAAGAGGAATTTGATGTTTGAACTATTTGTCTTCGCCCCTGTAACAACAATAAAACACGTTAATGGAAGAATGGAGGTATCTCTTAAGGAAGAAACAAGTTAACGATAATGGAAACTTGGCAGGCCATAATTTCTCTCGATGTTTTTGCTGGTGACTAAGTATTCCTTTCTTTGCAGGGATCAATACAACATAGCAACTAAAACAGACAGAATCCTGTCTGTCCTCATGATCGTCCTGTCAGTCTTCTCAAATATAGTGGCTATTTATAGTGATGCCTATACCTTGATAAAGAGGAACCAACCTGCGCTTGCATGATCCCTCGTCTGACTTCTGCAGAAGTATGATAATTATTCTTGGAATTGAACAGGGCAGGCCAATTAGAGGAAGACAATATTCTGGTAAGCTCAATTAAGGGGTTACCTTTCAACTGTAAAATATATCGACAACTCATGCGTTGTACCAAAGTCGGTATAGAGTTAGAAAACGATGGTTTACTGAAGGTTTGATTGGTTCTTTACTGGATAAACCTGCTTCACAATTGGAGGCCTGCTTGCCCTTCAGCCTCCTTTATAAAGTCGTCCTTGCTTGCTGGTTGAGTTTTTTTTTTTTTTTTTTGGCTTGAACTGGTTGAGAAGGTTGGTTGTTGGATAAATCAATGTTTTCCCTCTTAATTTGTATGTATTGAATATTTTGTAGGTATATTTTCGTACTTTTTTTTTGGGGACACAACATGTGTATATCTTTAATTGTTGCGTGTGAGGAAATTTTCGTCTTGAGTGAATTATAAATTTAAAAAGTTAGCTATTTTGTTCTTATTTTTAATGCTGATTATATATACAAATATATATTGGCCAATGATATATATATATATATATATATATATATATATGCATGCATGTATATATAATATTATGTAAGAATATTTTGGATTTCATCATCATAATCATCGTTTTGGTATATAGAAGTTAAGTTGAAATTAAATTTCAAGACTAAGTAAGGCCGTAATAAAATTGAAAAATTAATTGTTAAAAATGTAAAGATGAGAACTAAAAATATATAATAGAGTGAGTGGAGTTTGAGCAGCGAAACGATGAGTGAGAAAGTTAGAGAGAGAAAGAGTGAGAAAACGAGTGTGCACACAGGAGATCCAAGTAATCAGGGGACCTCCCCTGGTGAGAATATTGATCATTCCACCGAGGAGGATGACTTACTAGGAAAGAACATCAAGAAAATGCAAGAGGATACGCCTATGGAAGAGAATGAAAGCGCATCAAGTGGTCCGGAAAAGAGCAACAGCATTAAAACTCAGGGAGAGGATGAGGCGGACGTGAATCCGGGGAATATCAAGTTGGACAAGGGACCTCGAATGCCAACTAAGAATCAAATATCCTACAAAGCTAAACTAATGGGGAGAGAAGAGTCAGACTTTGAACGTGATCTTGAGGAACAAATGAAGGAATGGCTTCTTGAGGAAGAGAATATGACCCCAAGCCTCTCGGAAGAGCAACAGAGACTGCTTGAAACTCTGCCGAAGCTGAGCATGACAGACGAGCGACTAAGGGAGCTGTGTCGCCCTTGGAAAGATGCTCTTATTATCACGTTAATGGGAAGAAGAACTAACCTTAACATGATGAGGGACAGAATTTCGTGGTTGCTAAAAACAGAGAATTTTGAGCTGATCGATTTGCCTAATAACTACTACGTCTTTCGCACAAATAACAAATCTCTGTGCACAAGACTTCTCTTCGACGGACCTTGGGCTATCCAGGCGCACTATCTAGCGGTTCAAAGGTGGAGCCCCAACTTCAACCCCTACTGCAATCGGGTGAAAAAACTAGCCATCTGGGTCAGAGTTCCAACGCTGCTTATGCACTGCTATTCAGTTGAGTTTATGCTTGAGCTGGGGAATCTAATAGGAAAGGCCCTGAAAGTTGATCTCAACACACTTGCTCACCGCAACGACCAATCAACCACAGTGGAGCGAGGCAAATTTGCTAGAGTAAGTGTTGAAGTAGACCTTAACAAACAACTCCAATCGCGCTTTGTCATCAGGAGAAGGATCTATACAGTGGAGTATGAAGGTTTGGACCTTATATGCTTTAAATGTGGCATGCATGGGCACAATCAGGAGGAATGCCCCACTATGGAACCCAGCAAAGTACAAAACATGGAGGGGCAAGCTCCGGCGACCAGCACTCCGTCACCGGCAAAGAAGCAAGAGGAAGTCAATCCCATTTTTAGCATTCCAGGGATGTCAGAAAAGGAAGGGTACGGAGACTAGATGAAAGCTAAAAATACCTTTAGACAAAGACCTACAAGGGAGGACCTCGAAAAGAAGCAACAGGGAAGAGGCGCTGGAATGTCAAAATAAAAAACAAAAGGCACTGAGCACATGTCAGGGACCTGTTTTGATATTCTACAAGAGGATGATTTGGACACTAATACTGGAGCTACAACACAGGGAAACAAGAAAAAAGGACCTGCTACTCAGTGGAGGAGAAAAGTTGAAAAGAACAAAAATAAGGAAGAAGACTCCTCCAAGAAGAGCAACAAGAAAAAGGACCAAGAAAGTACTTTCAAAAGGGGAGAAGCAAGCAGAGGTCAATCAGATCCCAACCAAGAAAATGTCAGTATGGGTGATGATTTTAAAGTAGATGGGAACAAAAAGGAAGAGAGAACAAAAAAATAATATAGGAGAAGCAATTGAGTTCAAAGCCTCGGTTAACCAAGATGCACACTTAAACGAAACAGGAAAAAAATCAAGTGGAAAAAAAAGGAACCAAATGACTCGGCCCAAGATCATCTCCCCCCTCTTGAAACGCAAGTCCACCAGCCGGGCCCACTCGGTAGTAATTGGTTCCATGCTGCGAACTGGACCACTGGAATTCGGCAAGAATATGGATCAGACAAGCCCATCACAACAAGAGGAGAAGAAAGGAAATGAGTCTGACCATGCTGAGAAACTAATAGGAAGAATTCATAAAACCCATTTGTATCATGGAAAGACGGCGAAACCCACCAATCTACCACGAGAACCACTAGACCCCCTAATCACCGTGAAGATGGGATGGCTACGAAGGAAGTTCAGGAAGCTACGGATTTATGGTTTGAGACCAATGAGGAGGTCCGTGAAAGCTTGTATGAGGGAAATGAGACAATGGAGCTGTCCGACTCGGGGCAGTGATGCTGTATGCACTTGTGAGATGTGGTTTTTCTCCTTACTCCCTTCCTCTATTATGATTAATTTAATTTCTTGGAATTGTAGAGGCGCAGCCTCAAAAATTTTTCCTGGTAGATTAAGGGACCTGATTAGAGGGCGAAAAGTTGATATTGTGATCCTAACTGAAACTAGAGTAAGTGGGGTAAAAGCTGATAGAATAGTAAGGAAGCTGGGTTTTAGTGACTGGATCAGACTTGAAGCGACAGGGTATGCAGGAGGAATTTGGGTGCTATGGAATTCGAATGAAATTGACATCCAGTACATCTCTTCATCTACGCAAATCCTTCACATCAAAGTCCTTCTTAAAAATCAAATGTGTTGGTGCCTGTTATCCTGCGTCTATGTAGAACCAAGCCGGATTCTGAGACAACCACTCTGGTAAGACTTAGCTACTTACAGCATGGGAATTATGGAACCTTGGTTAGTGATTGGGGACTTCAATGCCTACCTAATGTGTGAGGATAAGATAGGAGGGTCATACCCAAACTGGACTTCTATGCACCAATTTGATGAATGTGTCCAGCGTTCTAACCTTCTTGAAGTGAATTGTGTGGGAGAACGGTTTACTTGGGAGAAGAATATGCTAAAGGAGAGAATTGACTGGGCTTTCATAAATAAGGAATGGCTTGAGAGATACCCACTTACAGTGGTCCATCACCTGAACAAATTTGGTTCTGACCATAGGCCCCTGCACCTAGTAACTGATGCCAACACGCACTACAGACAACCAAAAGCTCCTTTTCGATGCCAAGCTGCCTGGCTTCTGGAAGAGGGATTCCGAGAGATAGTTGAAGAAAGTTGGAGCAATGGCACCTGGAATGAGAGAGTTAACAAATTCACCACACAGGCTGAACATTGGAATAAATACAAAGTGGGCAATTTTATGACCAAAAGGAAGACTATTCAGAATAGACTAAATGGAATAGAGAGAGCAAGAAGTAGACGGGACAATCAGTACCTCATCCAAGCTGAAAAAGAACTATGGAAGGATTATGACAAGATCTTGGCACAAGAAGAGTTAATGTGGTACCAAAAATCAAGGTGTGAATGGCTTAAATGGGGAGATAGAAATACCACGTTTTTTCATACTTCAGCCACAATTAGAAATAAAAGAAACATGATTGATGGTCTGAAAGATAATCTCGGAGAGTGGGTTTTTGACCAGGAGGCCCTAAAAAGGATGTCAATGGAATTCTACAAAGAGCTTTTTAGAAGCGAAATGGTCAACCATTCCCGTCTGTACACAAGGGTGTCGTTTCCTAACATTACTGAGGAGGAAAGGAGGCGACTTTTAGCAAAGTTTACTGAGGCAGAAATTAGAAGAGCCATTTTTGATATGGGAGCTTTCAAAGCTCCAGGCCCTAACAGAATACAAGCTTTCTTCTACCAAGAGTTTTGGTCAATTTTGAGGCAGCCAATGGTCAACCTTATGAGAGAGGTCTTCAATGAGCCGAGCAAGGTGAAGGAACTAAATTCTACCAATCTAATTCTTATCCCGAAAAAAGAAAGGCCTAAAACAATCCAAGAGTTCAGACCAATCTCCCTTTACAACGTCAGCTACAAAACCATTACCAAGATCATCAGTCTGCGTCTTCGGGGGATTATAGCAAAGATGGTGGGCAATCATCAGTGCAGTTTTATAGCGGGCCGACAAAGCAGTGACAACATCATAATAGCACAGGAAGTCATACATTCCATGAAGCAGAAAAAAGGACAAAAAGGGTGGATGGCGATCAAAGTGAATCTTGAAAAAGCTTATGACCGCTTAGAGTGGAGTTTCATTCGGGATACCATCTTAGAAGCTGGCATTGAAGAGAAGTGTTGTGCTATCATCATGGCTTGCATCTCTACACCCAAAATTAGGGTGCTTTGGAATGGGGGAGCAACTGAAGAATTCAAGATGACCAGGGGAATCCGACAAGGGGACCCCATCTCCCCCTACATATTCACACTTTGCATAGAAAGATTGAGTCATGTCATTGTGGACGCTGTGGGAAGGAAGGAATGGAAGCCAATCAAGCTAACCACCGATGGACCTCCTATATCACATTTGTTCTTTACAGATGATCTAATCCTCTTTGGAGAGGCCTCGGTTAATCAAGCAGAGACTATGTTGGACTGCATTAACAAATTCTGTAATGCCTCTGGCCAGAGGATGAGTAATGCCAAGACAAAGGTGCACTTCTCAAGAAATGTTCACTTCTCAAGAGCTATAGAGCTAAGTAACCGACTTGGAGTTGGTTTAACGGGAGACTTGGGCAAATACTTGGGCATTCCCCTTCTGCACAAACAAGCGTCTGCACTGACTTTTGCTCCCCTCCTAGAAAAGACACAAAGGAGACTAGCAGGATGGAAAAGGAACTGTCTCAACCTAGCCGGCCGAGCTAACCTTGTGAAAGCAGTCTTATCTGCTATCCCTGCATATTATATGCAAACCATCCCTCTGCCCAAAAGCCTGCAAAGAGACCTTGAAAAGAAAAGTAGAAGCTTCTTATGGGAAGATAATGATCAGGGAAGAAAGACACATTTGCTCTCTTGGGAAACCATCATTAAGGACCAAAAATAGGGAGGACTGGGAATAAAGGACCTTGGAAAGCAAAATGAAGCCTACCTGATGAAACTTTGCTGGAATCTAGTAAACAACAAAGAAGCCTTATGGGTTCGAGTACTTAGAACAAAGTATAAGTGCGGAAATGAAGCAATGCCAGAAGTGACCAAAAGATCGAATCGGTCCCTCACTTGGAAGGGTATTTGTGGAGTCTGGAAGAATTTTAAGAGAGGCTTGGGAGCTAAAATTGGTAATGGGGCATCAACTTCTTTCTGGTTTGATAACTGGTCAGAAGTCAATAAACCCCTAATTGATCTCATCCCGGTTATGAAGGCTGGATAAACAAAGAAGAGAAAGTCAGGGACTACATGGACTCACGGGGGGAATGGGACATATTCAAACTATGGGGCTGGTTCCCGAATCATATTATGGATCAAATTATGTGTACACACCGACCTCAAGAGGAGAGAGGAGAGGACAAATTTGTTTGGAAGCCTTCAACTGACAGTTATTTTTCTGTTAGCTCTGCATATCGTTTTCTTTGTGCAGGTACACAGCATAGGGAGAATAATCTGTGGAGTCTCATCTAGAGTTGGAAGGTGCTGGAAAAGATAAAGTCCTTTATATGGCTGTGGTCACATGGCAGGGCTCATACAGCAAAGCTAAGACACTAAAGAGGCCTGTTGGAGAATGCAAGTTGTCCGTTTAATTGCTTGGTTGATGAAGATGGAATGCATCTGTTGAGAGACTGTGTCAATGCAAAGGAAAGGTGGTCAGCAATAATCAAACCATATTTGTGGAGGAAGTTTACTTCCTTCCAAGGAGCAAATTGGATTCGATGGAATTTGAGCGTTGAGGCAAGGAGAAGCTTCACCAGGAAACTTTCATGGAGCATACTCTTCGGTTATATCTGTTGGGACATTTGGACATCAAGATGCAATAGGGTCTTTGGCACATCAACGGCTTCTACAAGGCAGGATGCCAGGTCAACTCTGTTCAAGGCATGTTGGGATCAAGATTTGCTGGCCAGAAGCAACTTCAACAACGAGCAATGGAGACATTATTATGGAGCTGAAACTACAGATAGAGATTTTATCAAGCTGGAAGTAGATGGCTCGGTTCTTAATAATGGGAGTAGCGGCTGCGGTGGACTACTAAGAAAAGCAGATAACTCGTGGATACTGGGCTTTAGCTGCAAATTAACGGCAGTACTGCCAGCCATTGCGGAACTAATTGGAATTATACAAGGACTCAAGATTTGTTGGGAAAAGGGCTACAGGAAAATCGAACTCTTATCTGATTGTGTGGAAGCACTAAATCTGATGATACGGGATTACGACCCTCGACACCCTTTTGCTAATATCATTAGTGAAGCTAGATATTTACTTTGTAATAGGTGGCAAATTTCTGTTAATCATGTATCTAGAACGGAGAACAATATGGTTGATCGGCTTGAGTTTATCCCATAGCTTATTAGGAGGTATTTGTTTTTTCAATCATCCCCCTCCTCCGT